TGTGTAGAACTGATATTATATCACCCTTAAATGTTTGATAGATTTTACCAGTGAATTTTACCTAGAATTTTCTTTGGGGGATTTTGTTTATTAATTTACATAATTTTTAATTGCAGTATAATTGATTTACAGAATTTTGTTGTTTTCTGTCAAACCTCAACATGAATCAGCCATAGGTATACATATGCCCCTCCCTCTTGAATCTCCTTCCCATCTCCCTCCCCATCCCACTCCTCTAGGTTCATACAGGCCCCTGTGTGGGTTTCCAGAGACATACAGCAAATTCCCATTGGCTATCTATTTTACATATGGTAATGTAAGTTCCCATGTTACTCTCTCCATACATCTCACCCTCTCCTCCTCTCTCCCCATGTACGTAAGCCTGTTCTCTGTGTCTGTTTCTCCACTGCTGCCCTGAAGATAAATTCTTGGTATCATCTTTCTAAATTCCATATATATGCATTAGTATACGATACTTATCTTTCTCTTTCTGACTTATTTCACTCTGTATAATAGGCTCTAGGTTCATCCACTTCATTAGAACTGACTCAAATGTGTTCCTTTTATGGCTGAGTAATATTCCATTGTGTATATGTACCACAACTTCTTTATACATTCATTTGTCAATGGACATACAGGTTGCTTCCATGTTCTAGCTATTGTAAATAGTGCTACAGTGAACATTGAGGTACATATGTCTCTTTCAATTTTGGCTTCCTCAGAGTATATGCCTAGGAGTGGGATTGTTGGGTCACGTGGTGGTTTTATTCCTAGTTTTTTAAGGAATCTCCCTATCGTCTTCCATAGTGGCTGTGTCAGTTTACATTCCCACCAACACTGCAAGAGGGTTTTCTTTTCTCCACGCCCTCTCCAGCATTTATTGTTCGTAGACTTTTTGATGATGGCCATTCTGACCCATGTGAGGTGATATCTCATTGTAGTTTTGATTTGCATTTCTCTAATAATAAACTATGTTGAGCATCTCTTCATGTGTTTGCTAGCCATCTGTATGTCTTCTTTGGAGAAATGTCTATTCAGGTCTTTTTGACTGGGTTGTTTGTTTTTCTGGTATTGAGTTGTACAAGCTGCTTGTGTATTTTCAGAATTAATCCTTTGTCAGTTGTTTCATTTGCTATTATTTTCTCCCATTCTGAGGGTTGTCTTTTCACCTTGTTTATAGTTTCCTTTGCTGTGCAAAAGTTTTTAAGTTTAATTAGGTCCCACTTGTATATATTTGTTTTTATTTCCATTTCTCTAGGTGGTGGGTCACAGAGAATCTTGCTTTCATTTATGTCATTGAGTGTTCTGCTTATGTTTTCCTCTAAGAGTTTTATAGTTTCTGGTCTTACATTTAGGTCTTTAATCAATTTTGAGTTTATCTTTGTGTATGGTGTTAGGAAGTGTTCTAATTTCATCTTTTTACATGTAGCTGTCTCTTCATGGGATTTTTAACCACAAATTCAATTTCTGTTCTTTTTAATAATTTTGTTTACTTACTTATTTTTGGCTGTGCTGGATTTTTACTGCTGCATGGGCTTTGCTCTAATTGCAGCAAGCAGGGGCTACTCTCTGGTTACGGTGTGTGGGCTTCTCACTGTGGTGGCTTCCCCTGTTGTGGAGCTGGGCGCTAGGGTGCATGGGCTTCAGCAGTTACAGCATAAAGGTCCAGTATTGTGACTCCCAGGCTCTACAGACCACAGGTTCAATAGCTGGGGCACGTGGGCTTAGTTGCTTCATAGCAGCATGTGGGATCTTCTGAGATCAGGGGTCGAACCCAAGCCTCCCACATTGGCAGGTGGATTCTTTACCACTGAGCCACCAGGGAAGTTCCTTAAACTCCATTTCTTTAATGGATATGGGACTATCTAGGTTATACAGTTCTTCCTCAGAAAGCTTTGGTAAAAGAATTTATCCATTTCATCACTAAATTTAGTGAAATGAAATTGATCATAACATTTCCTTATTGTTCATTTAATATCTGAGGACCTCCAGTGATATATAACCTTTTTCATTCCTGATACTGCTAACTTGCTTTTTCTCTCTTTTTTCTCTTGATCAGTCTGGGGAGTCTTATCAACTCTATTAAACTTTTCAAAGAACCAGCTTTTTATTTCACTGATTATTTTCTCTATTGTTTCCTATCTTTACTTTCATGAATTTTTGCTTTTATCTTCCTTATTTCCTTCCTTCTGCTTATTTTGGATTTAATTTTTTCCTACTTTTCACTAGCTTAGATCACTGATTCCTTTAAATAAATATTAAATAAAAATCAAATAAAAATATTAAAATTAAGTAATACATATTAGTTTAATGCTAAATATTAAAAATTAACATTAAATATTAAATAAATCTTTCTTTCTTTAATCAAGTGCTTATAGCAGAAAAAAAAATTCCCTCCAAGCACTGACTTAGCTGCAAGCCACAGATTTTGATACACTGTATTTTCATTTTTACTTATTTCAAAATATTTTCTAAGTTCTTAGAAGATTTATTCTGTGATTCATGAGTTATTTAGAAGTGTTTTTACTTAATTTGCAAATATCTGTGAATTTTCCAGACATGTTTCTGTTTCTAGTTCAATTTTCTTGTGGTCAAAAAACATACTTTGTACTATTTCAATCTTTTAAATATGTTGAGATTTATTTTATGGCACCAAATATAGTCTATCTTGGTGAATAGCTCATGTGTATCTGAAAGGAGTATGCATTCTGCAGGCATTTAAGTGGAAAGTTTTATAATCTGATCTAATATCAGTTAGATCAAGCTGATTGATTATGCTATTCTTCTGACTTTCTATTGATTCTATCAGTTACTGAGAAAGGAAGCTGAAATTTCCACGCACGTAGGCATGCTTGCATACAAACATACATATGATCATCTTCCATGTTCATGAGTTCCAAATCTGAGGATTCAACCAACCATGGATCAAAAATTCACACTTAGAGAATTTCTGATGCAAAGCCCTGAACACAACCCCCACGGGTAAGGAGAACCACCATTTTACATAAGGGACTTGAATGTCTGCAAACTTTGATATCTGTGGGTGTTCTGGAAGCAAGTTCCTGCAGACACTGAGGAACAACTCTGCATACCACACACAAACACATACACAGTGTGACGATCAAAATTAAATACTAATTATATTTTAAGCTTTTTTCCCACATTTGAAAGCACTGAAGTTTCACTATAGGGAAATATTTAAATTCAATGAAGCAATCAACCCACCACCCAAGCTGGTTTGACTCTTTATTCTCATCTGAATGAAAACATACCTAAAGTGTATCAGTATGCCAGGTTTCCTGCCCCTATCCACCACCTCAGATCCACAGCCAAAGAACAGGTTGGAGGGCCTGGCTTTTTGCCCAGTCTTCAGAGATCATCAGACCTTCACTTTTCACAGTTTTACTAAACTGAGATAAAATCTCTTCTAAAATTGCTGGCTTTGCGATACTATCTAGATCTCTAGAGCCTTTCCAAGCTTAAGAATCTTAAAGAACTATTTTTCTTCCTATAAGACACCAGTGTAAATTGAGTACAGCTCCTATATGATAAGATTCTACCATTTAAAATTAGATTTTATCACTATATAAATAGTAAATAATATTAGAGATAGGATCAAAATAGAATTTAAAGAAAATAATAAAATTTAAGTTCAATACAAATATATACATGATTAAATCAAGCCTAAGAAGAAATGCAATATCTAAATTCACACGTTCAATGTGCCTACTATTTGTTAGGTACTATTTCTGGTTCTGAGAATAAAGCCATGAACAAAGAAGACAGAGTCCCTATAACCATACGATGGGGTGGTGGGGACACACAAACAATAAACATAAAAAATATATAATGTTAGAGGGTGAAAACTATGATGGAAGAACATAAAGCAAAATAGACAGAGACACAAGTAGTGTGATTAATACTTACATGGTCAGGGAAGTCCTCACTCACAAGACAACAGGAGACAATAAATCATATGGATATAGTGGAGAAATATTTCAGGCTAAGGAACAGCAAACACTTACTGGGACAGGAATGTTTGTGGACATGTTTGAGTAAACACAAACAGGAGACCCCAGTTCGATTCCTGGGATGGGAGGATCCACTGGAGAGGGGATAGGCTACCCACTCCAGTATTCTTGGACTTCCCTTGTAGCTCAGATGGTAAAGAATCTGCCTGCAATGCAGGAGATCTAGTTTAGATCCCTGGGCTGGGAAGATCCCCTGGAGAAGGGAAAGGCTACCCACTCCAGAATTCTGGCCTGGAGAAATCCATGGGCTGTACAGTCGATGGGGTCGGAAAGAGTCAGACACGACTGAGCGACTTTCACTTTCACTTTGAGTAAATACAAAGAGGCATAAGGCTTGCTAATTTGAAAGGTACAATGAACCAGAAGACAACATACTTTTTAACGCATTTTGTTCCATAGGAAGCCACCTATTCAAAGTCTAGTATAAAAGTTTAAAAGTTTATGGTTTTCCATTTAGACGAGCTAATTAGACTAGGAAAAGTAAGACATTTCCTAAAGGAAGTATTTTTCAAAAGCTTTCTAAAACCAATACTGATATGTCAGAAAAACCAATATCATACTGTATTATATAAGTACATGCTGTATTCTGCATTTAACTCTAAACAGAAAAACAAAGGCAAAGACAGAGGAATATGGAGATGCTAAGCACCCATTCTTTCAGAGGGCTCTATTAAAAAATAAAAAGAAAAGCAGAGGCCCTTTCTCACTCAGGAAAATAATCACCTGAGAAAAAACTGAAATGGATTAGTTTATAATTACAATAGAAAAACAACAAATACAACTTTTAAAAAGTGAATTTTCATATTTTACATAAGATTAAATCAGGCAACTATAGCAGTCAGATTGTGTTACCCTTAAAAAAGTCATCTGTTTTATAATTCTTTCTAATTATATTATTTGATATTATAAGTTAGTGAACTTCAAATAAAAGAAAGGAAGAAAAGGAAGAAAAAAAAAAGAAAAACTTACTGGGATTGAAAATTCCTCAGCCAAATACTTCAAAGAGGCTGCTTCTCTTGCCAAGAACTTGTTCCTTTCTCTCAGGTTGCCCTGAAGCTGTGTATCAAACTCCTTTCTTACCACAGACGCAACAGAGTCAATAATCACAAGTTTAACTCCTTTTGAAATAATTTCTTCTTCCAAGGATTCAATCCTGTAAAAGCAGAATATATAAGATAGCGGATGACTTTAAGGCATAATTTTTAAAAATAGAGCACTGCAAAGGTTAACCAACTTTAAAACAACAAATTACTCTTCTCTAAGTTACAGCAGTCACTGCATATATTCAATAAACATAACTTATTTTCCAGTTCTTCCATACATATTGCATTCTTTTCTAAATAGGGCAAAATATTTTCCTTTAGCTTTATTGCTTGGTTTTTTCATGATATTGCTAAAGCTCTAGTTTTAGAGCAAAACTACTTGCAGTGGCCAGTCTCCAAAATGGCCCCCACTTACTCCCACCTCCCAGTATTCATATCCCCATGGAGTCCCCTTCCCAACTGTACCAGGATTCGTCTGTGGACCAAATGACAAAATGATGGTGCATCATTTCTGAGAGATAGGCTGTAAAAGGTTACAGCTTCCATCTTGGGATCTTTCTCACTTGCCCACTCTCTCAGAGCACTCGCTCTGAGGGAGGCAAGATACCACTGTGGACCAAAAATGCCACCTGCCAAATGAGTAAACAAATGATGTTGAGGCCATCAAGCCATCAGCTACTGAAGCTGCCCCAGCTGTGCACCAAAAGGGAATTCAAGATGGAGAAAAGCAAGATACTGGCTCTAGATAGTTAAGGTGCATATCACAGGAATGATTTCAAGGAGCCCAGACTTTTACATCTTCCCACACACAGAAAAGTGCTAAATTCATTAACTCGAGATGTCTGATTTGGGGACTTCCATGGTGGTCCAGGGGCTAAGACTCCATACTCCCAATGCATGGGGCCCAGATTCAATCCCTCGTCAGGGAACTAGATCCCACAGGCCACAACTAAAGATCCCTTGTGAACCTGCATGCCGCAAGGAAGATCCATGTGCTGAAACTAGCAACTAAGACCTCGTACAGCCAAATAAATAAATAATATATAAATAAAGATGTCTGGTTTTTCTTTAATTAACAATAACGTTTTGATATTCTGACTACCTGGTTTTTTGTTGCAGAAACTCCTATATCCTGGTTCCTCCCTTACATCCTGGTTCCTCCCTTACATCCTTAGAGCAGTCCCTCAGAGTTACCAGAGAGGCTGCCCCCCAAGCTTAAGTCCTCAGTATGACCACTGAATAAAACATAATTCTCACCTTTTAGGTTGTGCACTTTTTTGAGTAAACAACATATTCTAAGAAGCCCCATGGAGAGGCTCACATGGTGAGAAACGGAGACCTCTGGCTAGCACCCAGGAAGAAACAGAAGCTCTCCCAACAACTATATGCATAATCCTGGAACTCTCTAAGATCTCCCAGCCTCAAGTGACCCTTGAGATGACTACAGCCCTGGCCAACAGCTTAACTGCAAGTTCTTGAGCAACTCTGAGGCAGAAATACCCAACTAAGCTATTCCAGATAACTAACCCTCAAAAACTAGTTGAGATAAATAGATGCTTATTATTTTAAGCTGCTAAACTTTGGGGTAATTTGTTAACAGAACAGTAACTAATTAATATACCACTTAATTAATCTAAAACATTTTATTTATTTAATTTTTTTCATTTTTAAAGAAATACTTCAACCAATAGGCGGTGGTAAATAAATAACACTGAAATGATTTTTCTCTTAACCCTAATACGTAGGGACTTTTTTCCCACGCAGAAGCTGAAAACATGAAGAACAAAAGAGTAAATCTTCAAAGTATTACTAACATGCCAAAATCTAAAACAGCATACCTTTGTAGAACTTCATCACAGCTGAGTTCCCGATAAAGATGAACTTTACTGCTTGTCAAAAGTAGTTTTTCTTCAGTGTCAAAATATCTGGGAAAACGAGATTCTGCTATCTCAACTAGTCTGTGGAGGGAAAAAATAGCACAAGCAACAACGGTTAATATCCTCTGCCATTTTCAGCAACATGGATGGACCTGGAAGGCATTATGCTAAGTGAGATAAGTTAGAGAAAGACAAACACTGTATGGTATCACTTAAATGTGGAATCTAAAAAATACACAACAATCTAGCGAATACAACAAAAAAGCAGCACTCACAGATATGGAGAACAAACTATTGGTTACTAGTGGGGAGTGGGGAGGGATATCATGGAGTGGAAGAGTTGAAGATACCAACTACTGGGTGTAAGACAGACTCAAGGATGTATTGGACAACACAGGGAATACAGCCAATATTTTGTAATAACTATAAATGGATAGTAACCTATAAAATTGTAATAATTTTAAATAAGTCAATATTTAAGGTCACACTGCTAAACCTCTAACGACTTATACTTAGGAAACTCATAAGCCATAAGTAACACTTGAAAAAAAGCCTTATCAATACAGCAGGTATAAGCAAAGTGGCTTCGTATATGATTTTGGAATGTAAGCCCTTCTCTATAATCACTAAAAGATTACCAGTCAGCACATGAGCCCAGCAAGGGCTTTGAGATCTCATCTAATGTTGAGAAAGCAGTATCTCTGAGGTTTAACTGAAAATGTTATTTTATAAATGACCATCTGACTACCAAATATAAGATGTGTTTAGTAAATTAAGAAAAATGCTTTCATTTTCATGAATGAAATATATATTTGAATATTATCATTCTAATAATCAGATATCAGTAAATCTCCATGTCTCAGACCAGAAAAATACAATTTCTCAATTAAAACGTAATACATACTAAATAAATGCTATCCAATTGTTCCTTTGTAAACAGGATACTATTTTCTAAACATATGGATACTATCCACATTTCCTTTGTGCTTAGTCACTCAGTCATGTCCAACTCTTTGCGACCCCACAGGCTGTGGCCCACCAGGCTCCTATGTTCATGGAATTCTCCAGGCAAGAATAATGGAGTGGGTAGCCATTCCCTTCTCCAGGAGTTCTTCCTGACCAAAGGATCAAACACTGATCTCCTGCGCTGCAGGCCTATTCTCGACAGTCTGAGCACCAGGGAAGCCCATCATTTCCTTAAAGGAAAACAAACTATTCTCTAAACACTGAATTCTCACCTCAAAGCTAGACCTAATACATGAGGTAGGCTGAGCATTAGAGGTGACAAGCTGAAACAGATGCAACTTTATCATTAATAATATAAGAAATGGAGTTATACTAGAAATTTCAAATATTTCTGGTTAAAAATGTAAATCTTTGAGGGTAACTGTCTCTGATAGCTTAGCAGCCCAAAACTTAATCATCCAAGGGTGACTGGGAGGAAGGACTATAAACACTAAAACCACCCTATATTTTATCTTCCATTTAATGATACAAAAGTATAAAAAACACTGTTTTCATTTCTAAATAATGAGTTCCAAGAAGAGGTTCAACTCTCACATTCACACATGACTACTGGAAAAACCATACTTTGACTAGACAGACCTTTGTCGGTAAAGTAATGTCTCTGCTTTTTAAAATGCTGTCTAGGTTGGTCATAGCTTTTCTTCCAAGGAACGAGTGTCTTTTAATTTCATGGTTGCAGTCACCAGCTGCAGTGATTTTGGAGCCCAAAAAAATAAAGTTTCAGACTGTTTCCACTGTTTCCCCATCTATTTGTCATGAAGTGATGGGACTGGATGCCATGATCTTAGTTTTCTGAATGTTGAGTTTTAAGCCAGCTTCTTCACTCTCCTCTTTCACTTTCATCAAGAGGCTCTTTAGTTCCTCTTCATTTTCTGTCATAAGGGTGGTGTCATCTGCATATCTGAGGTTAGTGATATTTCTCCTGGAAACCCTGATTCCAGCTTGAGAATCAAGATCCATCGAAGTGAGAACAAGATGGATCAAATGACCATTCAGGAGAAGTACTTGAGGGAGGAAGGCATAGGTATTAGACAAAAATGAAGTAAGTAATGAAAGCAAGAAGAAATGAGATGACACTGGCAAAGGCGGAATGGGCAAATTTTAACAGCTTGGGGAAAATGTGCAAATTTCTTGATTAGGGCAACTATTTGCTGAGTTTAGTGCTAGTCAGAGAAGTCAGCTAAAAAGCTCTGACCCTTGGAGCCTACTGCTTTTCAATCGGATAGTGATGGTGACATCTGCCAGAAACAGGGAGTTGTTTTTTTTTTAATATTTGGATCTTCCGTTGATTAGGAACCAGACTGAAAGTACCTAATGAGATGAGAGTACCTAACTACAAATAGCTGTGAAATGAAGAGAAGTGAAAAGCAAAGGAGAAAAGGAAAGATATTCCCATTTGAATGCAGAGTTCCAAAGAATAGCCAGGAGAGATAAGAAAGCCTTCCTCAGTGATCAATGCAAAGAAATAGAGGAAAACAACAGAATGGGAAAGACTAGAGATCTCTTCAAGAAAATTAGAGATACCAAGGCAACATTTCATGCAAAAATGGGCTCGATAAAGGACAGAAATGGTATGGACCTAACAGAAGCAGAAGATATTAAGAAGAGGTGGCAAGAATACACAGAAGAACTGTACAAAAAAGATCTTCATGACCCAGATAATCACAATGGTGTGATCACTCACCTAGAGCCAGACATCCTGGAATGCGAAGTCAAGTGGGCCTTAGAAAGCATCACTACGAACAAAGCTGGTGGACGTGATGGAATTCCAGTTGAGCTATTTCAAATCCTGAAAGATGATGCTGTGAAAGTGCTGCACTCAATAGGCCAGCAAATTTGGAAAACTCAGCAGTGGCCACAGGACTGGAAAAAGTCTGTTTTCATTCCAATCCCTAAGAAAGGCAATCCCAAAGAATGCTCAAACTACCGCACAATTGCACTCATCTCACACGCTAGTAAAGTAATGCTCAAAATTCTCCAAGCCAGGCTTCAGCAATATGTGAACCAAGAACTTCCAGATGTTCAAGCTGGTTTTAGAAAAGGCAGAGGAACCAGAGATCAAATTGCCAACATCCGCTGGATCATCAAAAAAGCAAGAGAGTTCCAGAAAAACATCTATTTCTGCTTTACTGACTAGGCCAAAGCCTTCGACTGTGTGGATCACAATAAACTCTGGAAAATTCTGAAGGAGATGGGAATACCAGACCACCTGACCTGCCTCCTGAGAAACCTGTATGCAGGTCAGGAAGCAACAGTTAGAACTGGACATGGAACAACAGACTGGTTCCAAATAGGAAAAGGAGTACATCAAGGTTGTATATTGTCACCCTGCTTATTTAACTTATATGCAGAGTACATCATGACAAAAGCTGGGCTGGAAGAAGCACAAGCTGGAATCAAGATTGCCGGGAGAAATATCAATAACCTCAGATATGCAGATGACACCACCCTTATGGCAGAAAGTGAAGAGGAACTGAAAAGCCTCTTGATGAAAGTGAAAGAGGAGAGTGAAAAAGTTGGCTTAAAGCTCAACATTCAGAAAACTAAGATCATGGCATCTGGTCCCATCACCTCATGGGAAATAGATGGGGAGACAGTAGAAACAGTGTCAGACTTTATTTTGGGGGCCTCCAAAATCACTGCAGATGGTGACTGCAGCCATGAAATTAAAAGACGCTCACTCCTTGGAAGGAAAGTTATGACCAACCTAGACAGCATATTAAAAAGCAGAGATATTACTTTGCCAACAAAGGTCCATCTGGTCAAGGCTATGGTTTTTCCAGTGGTCATGTATGGATGTGAGAGTTGGACTGTGAAGAAAGCTGAGCGCCGAAAAATTGATGCTTTTAAACTGTGGTGTTGGAGAAGAGTCTTGAGAGTCCCTTGGACTGCAAGGAGATACAACCAGTTCATCTTGAAGGAGATCAGTTCTGGGTGTTCATTTGAAGGACTGATGCTGAAGCTAAAACTCCAATACTTTGGCCACCTCATGCGAAGAGTTGACTCACTGGAAAAGCCCCTGATGCTGGGAGGGATTGGGGTCAGGAGGAGAAGGGGACGACAGAGGATGAGATGGCTGGAAGGCATCACCGACTCGATGGGCATGAGTTTGAGTAGACTCCAGGGGTTTGTGATGGACAGGGAGGCCTGGCATGCTGCAATTCATGGGGTCGCAAAGAGTCGGGCACAACTGAGCGACTGAACTGAACTGAACTGAACTCATTGATGGCAACAACTGAACAGCTGACAGACAACAGTAATTTCATGCCTCTAACAATAGGCTCAATTTCAACTAATGGCATGGGTGGTGAAAGACTTTGGAACTTATTTCTGCTCTCTTGTTGCATGTAGGCCCCTCAGAAGCAGGATGTGGACATGAACTATGTGGACATCACAGTTAAGCCTACTAAGTAACGGTATCGAATGGTTATTTACACACCAATATGCTGTTGTTTTCCTACAAGCTTCTCCAAATGTTTACTTTAGAAAAATGTATCTAAAATACATATAAATCAAAAACAAAATATAAATGTAATATTCTAAAGGCCTCACATTAATCTAGGACAATCTTCATCACAAAGGTCTTTTTGGTTACAGCAAGCAAAAGATCTTATCTTTTCCTCCCAGACATTAATTACAAAAAATTTGAAAGCAATGCCATCTAGTGGATGTCTTTTTTATAAAAAGCATTCTTTCCAAAAGATGCACTTAATATTCATTCATTCAACCAATATTTGAGGACCTGTTATATGCCTGGTAGCTCAGTTGGTAAAGAATCCACCTACAATGCAGGAGACCCAGGTTCAATCCCTTGGTGGGGAAGGCCCCTTGGAGAAAGAAATGGCAGCCCACTCCAGTATTCTTGCCTGGAAAATCCCATGGACAGAGGAGCCTGGCAGGCTACAGTCCAAGGGGTCACAAAGAGTTGGACATAGCTTAGTAACTAAACCACCCCCACTATATTCCAGGTACCATTCTAGGTGCTAAGCATCAACAATGAACAAAAACAACAAAACAAAAAAATCCTTCCCTCATGGAACTTACATACTACTGAG